GTGAACAGATCATTGATGAGTATTGATAAATGTGAACAGATTATTGATGAGTATTGATAAATGTGAACAGATTATTGATGAGTATTGATAAATGTGAACAGATCATTGATGAGTATTGATAAATGTGAACAGATTATTGATGAGTATTGATAAATGTGAACAGATTATTGATGAGCATTGATAAGTAAAGAGACTGAGACAAACTGACTTTAACCTTTTTTATTGTCAGAAAACGTGGGTACAGTTTTACAGACGGCGACCGCGGCGTCCGCCCTTCCTCCTGGTGGAGTCTGACGGGATCGGAGTGACGTCCTCTGGTCACATGAAGAAACACATGAAGAAGAAAGAGGAAGTCAGACACACGGGTGGAAACAGACAGTATGATATTTAACTTTACCTTGTTAGAAAATGAAATCAAATGTTTCCATAAGTTAGTTTGATGTAATAAAGAAAAACACTGTCTGTAATCTGATTACTTTACAATCTGATTACAAGCAGCCGTTTTAAATCTGAAACAGGTCATCAGCTGACAGAGTCTTTACATCACTAATATAAACTCTACTGTGACCTCATGTTCTGTCATCAGAGGATTTAACTGCAGCATCACTTCTATGAACACTGTGACATCACTGATCAGAGTCGGGGTCAGTCTCACCGATGCGTCCGATCTTCATGCCGGATCGAGCCAAAGCTCTGAGAGCAGACTGAGCTCCAGGACCTGGAGTCTTCGTCCTGAAACACACACACACACACACACACACACACACAATCAATAACTTCATCATGACACACCTGATCTTATGAGGTCCACGGTCCAGACCTGACGAGTCTCTGACATGTGACGTATGACACGTGTCCTGTGACAGTTCTGTGTTTTCCAGACTCATCTCTAATAATCTGAGGTTTCAGTGACGATGACGAGCACAGCTTCACTTCTCACTGCCGTTAATTCAGAAGCAAGATGCAAGTTCAGGTCGTCACATTAATGTGTTCATCACAGTGTGACTGAAGTCGCACACACTGTTAGATTTGTGTTGTCTGTCATTAACATGACTCATTAATATTAACAATAACTTTAATAACAGTGATGAGCAGAGTTTCCAGGCGGAGCCTCAGCGAGGAGCGCTGCTCAGGATCTAATTACTTTAACAGATATTGTTCAAGTGCTGATTTTACTAAGAATTATGTTTTATTTTCACAGAGAAACAATGAAGACGAAGGTGAGATTTTTATTGGGCGTCTCTGCGGCGCCGCACTGACTCATTTTAACATCAAATCATCAGAGCCGTGTTTATGACATCAGAGCTGAGCCGCTAACCACAGGTTCAGTAACGAGTCACAAACTGACACGACGACGTGTTGGTTTAATCTGACAGGTCAGAGAGCAGACATTATCGCCACTGATCAAATGTTACAGGGCCTGTCATCGACTGGGGGCGGGGCTTAGCAGAGCAGAGTGACAGCTGGTCAGGGTCGTGTCATGTGACCTCAGTGACGTTTCAGCCGTCAGAGAAGCTCCAGATTTTTAACGTGTGATTAAAGGAACAGATTTGACTCAACGTTTGAGAGATCCAAAACCCTCTGTCGTTCCAGACCGTTTCCAGGCCTGGAAAACTGGGAGACTACTTTTCAAGCCTTCAAGGTATTTCACGAGTGTACGAACCTGCAGGATGTCACAGTCCAGGTGAAGCAAACACACCTGTGTGGATGTACGTACACACACACACACACACACACACACACACACACACACACACTCACACTCACTCTGAGCTGAAGGGTGTGTGTGTGTGTGTGTGGTAATGTTATATCGTAGGAGGAGTTAAGGACGACTCCAGACTTTTAGCCCCGCCAAAAAACTCCTGGACACACATGAACTCCACCATCTGATCAGTTTTTTGAACAAGTTTAAAATGAGTTGGTGTCAGCTGTGATCTGTGTGAACAAATCTGACTCAGTCAGACAGACAGACAGACAGACGGGTGTACAGCCAGACAGACGGGTGTGCAGACAGACAGACAGCCAGGTGTACAGACAGACAGACAGATGTACAGACAGACAGACAGACAGGTGTACAGACAGACAGACAGACAGACGGGTGTACAGCCAGACAGACAGATGTACAGACAGACAGACAGACAGACAGGTGAGTTTACCTGTTGCCCCCGGTGGCCCTCAGCTTGATGTGCAGTGCGGTGATCCCGAGCTCTTTGCAGCGCTGAGCGACGTCCTGAGCGGCCAACATGGCGGCGTACGGAGACGACTCGTCTCTGTCGGCCTTCACCTTCATCCCTCCGGTCACACGGCAGATCGTTTCCCTAGTGACACACCGACCAATCAGAAAACAAATACACCCATACTTCCTGTCATGCTCTAGGAGCCGATCAGTGAACCCACTGCACTGAGGAAGAGGAGGGCACTTACTTCCCGGAGAGGTCGGTGACGTGGACGAAGGTGTCGTTGAAGGAGGCGAAAATGTGACAGACTCCAAACACGTTTTCTCCTTCGGCCACCTGAGGACCCAGACTGATCACCTGCTCCTCCTTCTTCTCCTTCCCTTTACGAGGAGCCATCGTCTGAGGAAGAGGAGGAGGAAGAAGAGCTCGTCACACAGATGTTACAAACAGCAGGACGTTTGAATCCAACATGACAAATCTAACGGATATTAAGGTGCGATCAGATTTCTGCTCGCTGGATTAAAACTGTGTCAAACACCTGAAACTAGACACAGGTGACAGGAAATACTGATCCTCTCAGATAACTCAGTAAACTGACATCACCAGAGTGACATCACCAGAGTGACATCACCAGGGTTCACTCACATTTTCAACAACTTATTGAACTATTTTGTGACATTAAAATGCCTTTTCCTTCCCTCCTAACTCGACACTTTCACAGCACAAGAATCAACCTCATGTCAAATACAAATTTCAAATGGACATGTGATGTCACACACGGCGTCGCACAGCTGGAGCGACAGGAAATACATTGGCGTGAAGATTACCCACCCAACACCGCTGCAATAAGTTAACTTCACAAAACATTATTTCACAACTTTTCCAAAACTTTTTCCAGGTTTTCCAAGACCATGAGAATCCTGGATCTCTCACTCACTCACTCTCACTCTCTCACACACACACACACACACACACACACACACACACACACACACACACACAGCAGCTCCAGTCCTGCAAAGCTCCGTCTGACACACATCCTTTTCAAAATAAAAGCTCATATTAAAACTTGCGGCTAATTTAGTTAGATTCAGATATGAGAGTTCACACAGCAGACATGTTGACCTACAAACTCTCAACTGTTTGCTGCACCTGTGTCTTCGATCACTGATCAGTTTTAAGTGATCAGATATGCACTCAGCTGTGTCCGGTAATGGAACCACAGTGTTCATATGGACACATGGTGGTTACAGCTGCGGCTAAGTGACGCCATGCTAACACAGACGCTCCCAAACGTCTCGTTCTCAACACGGAGAATTTAAACGTTGTGTTTTACATCAGATTGATCACCAATAACAGTTTCCACCTTTAACAGATCAATAAACTGCGCAGCAGGCAAACCTACAGTCGCCATGCTAACGTTAGCCTGTTAGCTTCTACCCAACAGCGGACCGTAGCGTCTCACCTGAGCTCTTCTCACCTGGTTTATTTCTACGGTAAACACGTCACTCTGCGGACCTTTAATATTTCATATAATTATTAATATAAGTCTGGTTTCCCGCTCCTCAGAGCTAAAATGGCGACGTGTTGCAGCGGCTCGCCGACAAACAGACCGGACAGAAACACGGAGAAAAACGGCTAAAAGCTAAAGTCAGGATTCACTCAGAGAAACAATTTAAGCGCGAACACAAAGTGTGTCCATCCCAGAATAAGTGCAGACACCAAAACTGATCGGATGCTCACCTGAAAACCAGATTTAAGAAGGATTAACCGGAGAGAGAACTCACCTCTGTGTGTCTCTAAACCAAGCAGAAACAAGAAAGGAAAGAACTTCCGCTTCCGGGGACAAAGTTGAGGCTCTGCAGCGCGGGAACGAGCTGCTGCTGCCGCCACGTGGTCACAACAGGAACTGAGATATCTATGTAAATGTCTCCACGGGAAACACGTGTTGTTTATTTTATTTGTTTATTCTAAACATTTCCATCCATAGAATCTCTACAGGAAACATTTTATTGTATTTCAATTTATATCGTTTTATTTTATTTTGAGATATTTGTATAAATAATATTTACTCCACAGGTAACAGGTTTTATTTTTTTATTTATTATTTTTCTTTGTTTATTCTAGATATTTACATCTATACAGGAAACACATTTTATTTATTTATCCTTATTTGTTTAATCTAGATATTTATTTTATACAGTTATTTATAGAATATATAGTTTAATAATTATAATAATCATTCATATTATTTGAAGATTATATTCTACTATCTGTATTTTTCTGTTTAATTCAGGTATATCTATAATATACAACATACTATTTACATATCATAAATACTTTAATCATATTTCTTTTTAAATGTATATATTTATAATTCAGTATATGTTAAATAATATTGGTATATAAAATACTTTATATTTAGATATGTTTACATTAAATTTACTTTATAAATACAAATTGAAAAAATATAATGAAACCATTGTTTTTATTTTAATGATTATTTATTTTCTCATTAATGTCTTTATTTCTTTTAACATATAGTTTCTCTTTTCTCTTTATTATTTAGATGTTAAAACGTCCTTGTGTGATTTATATTTGTCACAATATTTATATCATCTCAAATCTTTGTTTCTATAATTCTCTTCCTGTCAGTTCACGTCTCTGTGTACATGTGGCAAGTGACGCTGTCTCACCTGACTCAGTCCTCTGTCCTCATGCAGCACTGAGAGTCTTGTTAGTGTGACGCTGCTGTTTTGGATGAAACAATAAAGTTTTCAAAGTTTGAAGAAGGTGAAAAAAAAAAACGGACCAATGAGAAGGCAGCGTTTGACCACCTCAGTTTATTTACAGGAACACTTTGAACACGATGCAGAAGAAGAAGAAGAAAAGAAATACTCCAAAAAACTACAAAAGAAAAAAAGATTTAAAAACACACACACACACACACACACACACTCAGTCTGTCTCTCTCTCTCTCTCTCACTCACTCACACTCACACTCACACACACACACACACACACACACACACAGTTACACACTGAGCATGCAGCATTGGAGTCCAGTTAATACAGTACAGTACAATATCCATCATAGTAGAAAAAGCTGAGTGGAGCCGATTATTGATTGTTGATTATTGATTATTGATTCTGCAGAGCGTGAACATGGTGGACGGGAAACAGCCAGGACAGAAATGAAAACATACATGTTTATTGTTTGTTTGTTTGTTTATGAATTATTTGTTTTCATTTCTGTGTGTGGAAGGAAACAAACAAACGATCATTAAACTCAACGAGCTTCAGGCCGATAACGAACCTTTCATCTGATCAAAGCGTTAATCAATTAATGATGTCACAGATTTCTGACTGAATACATGTTCCATGAATAAATACTGTCTGTAATATTGCCTTTTCTGTAAACTCCCCAGACACTGTTGAGAGTCTGGTTTGTACCTGAGTTCATGTTCGCTTCATGAAACAAAGATCAGTTTACGTTCTGTCGACATGTTCAACGTCTTCGATTAAATATCTTTACATTTTATCTTAAAAATAAACTGATATAAAACACATTTCATGTTTCACTCCTGCAGACACAGAGGCCTCACATTAAATATAACTGAACACGTCATATTACGAATGATGGAATTTAAATATACGTGTTTTCTTAAATCCTCAGAATATTGTTCAGGAACCTGAGTTTGTGTCTGCAGGTCAGATTTCTGATGAATGTGTTGCTTTAATGACACAAAGAGAAGTTTCTATTGTGTATTTACACACATATCAAACACAAGGGTTTAAAGCTGACTGATATGTTTCATAGATTAAATATTTTAAAAGTATGGTGACCCTTTTTATACACAAAATAAGACCTTTTTAATAAAAGTAAAAGAGATTTTTAAATATGTGACGTTGTAGATTTGAACTGTTTAAAACAAATTATAATAATGAAATTCAAAGTTGAAATGAACAGTTAAATAAATAAAAATAATCTGAGATGTTTTCTTCAATATATTGTAGAGTTTCGTTGGTGGCTCACATTTGCACGGACATTTTGTGGTTAGCTCGTGAGCTAATGTTAGCATAGCGCAGATAATAACACATGTTATTACACTGATTACATCATAATGATTATAAGACAGCTGAAAGCTTTGGTTTCAGTCATGTAGCCCAGATTTATGAGAAATAGTTTGTTAGCACTGTTAGCTTCATTAACATTCCTAACTGTAACACATGCATGCTGTTAGCCACAAATTAGCACGTTAGCATGTTGAATAGCTGTGGCCAGAGGAGCAGCTAATGAATGCTAACGATGCTAACAGTTTCCCTCCTCCTGCTGTTTCCCGTGGCGTGGATCAGAGAAGCTTCCTGCAGGTGTTTTTAGCTTCACCTGAAAGAGACGAAACGTTTCAGTGCGTCTGAACGAATCGTCTCTGCTTCGGTTGGATGGAGATAAATATATACGCAGCAGCCACCGAACAGCTGGTAAAAACATTAGAATAACAAGTGAAATCTGCTTTAGGATGAATTCTTCAGTTTCAAGCAAAAACACCTAAAAAAGACGTCAGATATTTCCTCGGAAAGAGTTCCTCCAGCACGAATAAATAAAACTTTGAAAAGGTCAAAGTGGAGTTTGTTGCTTTAGAAAACACACACTAGAAAACAGCCATTCACTCTGCAGGCGCCATTTGGAGTCCCGACTGTCTTCACACTTTGTAAATGTTGAGGAGGCTGAAACTGGGCCGTGAGTCAGGTCGGTATTATTAGTCTGAAAGTCTCTACACACAGCACAGCGTCAAACAGGCCCAGAGACAACTTTATAATATTCACATTAATGTTTGATGACGTGCAGCAGGTCATAGAGGCCAATGCCTGTTTGGGCTCCACATCAGATGAAGACAATGACGTCTCCTCATTTTAAAATCCCTGAAAACTTGAACAGACTCTGGTGACAGTTTGTTTGCTGCAAAAGTCGTAATGACAGGAAGTGTTCGGCGGCATGTTGCATCAGCTGTACCTAAGTTCTCTATGAACGTACAGATCAAAGTTGACTCTACACGATTCGTCAGTTTGATCGTGAAGCTGCAGCCGTGTTTTGTTGCACCACAGAGACAAACGGTTTATCTGAGCTCCTCTGGTGTAAAGTCCAAACTGACCAAAACACTGTCACTGAACATGATGTGTCACTTCCTGTGGCCAATCAGAGGCGAGCACGACTCTAACAGCTAAAACCAGTGAACGCTAATCAACCAAATATCAGAGAGAAGGTTCTGACATAAGGACAACGACCCGACGTTAACCTGCAGCTGCAGCAGAGTCATAACGGTGACGTCCAGTCGTTAACGGCAGCCTGACGAACCTGTGACATCATAACAAACACATAATGACGACCTGCAGCCGGGGTCGTCTATATTAGAAAAGATGTTCTAAATCACTAATTACATTCTACGAGTTAGAAATGTTCTACATTTGAAGTAAGGTTCTAAGTTAAAAAATCACATTCTAGATTTGAAATTACATTTAAAATAGAAATGACATTCTGAGTAACAAACATTACGAATACTTCAGAGAATATGAATGAGATGAGACATGATGCTCTAAATTACATTCTGAGTCACAAATGACGTTTTATGTTGTAAATGAAGTTCTCAGATAGAGATTATGTTTAAAGTTAAAAGCGATGTTCTAAGTTACAGATTACATTCCAAGTCAGAAAATTTGTTCTAAGATAGAAATGTCGTTCGAGGTTTAACGTGATGTTCAAACTGCTGTGTTGGAGCTTCTGTAGAGCCGCTGCAGCCCAGAGCAGGTCAGGACGTCAGCTGACCTTTGACCTGACATTCAGCCTCCTCTCTTCTCTGAGTGCATCCTGAGCTGGGACGCCAAATGGCACTGAGATGTGGAGTAAATTAAAGGTTAGCGGCGCTGTGGCGAACACATTCAGCGGTTGCTAAGGGAACTGGTGTCACACGCTATAATGCACATCATACTGAGAAAATGATAAAGCTAATAATACACAACGTGTTCTCTACAGACGGCGAGCACTGCATGTCTGATCCAACATTAAAAAGCTCTTCAATATACAAACGCCATAGATCCATAATAATAATAATCATAATTATGTGATAGTAATAATCTGATTGTACAAAGTTCTACATTCTCCCGACGGTAAAAAGCAGCTTGAAGCCTCCGAGACGAACACAACGGGTCAAAGTCGCAGAATATCAAAGATGGCACCGCTGGCGTTTTGTTAGCTCACGGCTAGCAGACACCATAGCTCCCGGTGAGGAATGCTAACAAAGCTAACAAGTCCCAGTCAAGTCACCGGAAAACAAAATGGCAGCCGCGAACGCCAAAACGCAGCGGAGACCAAAGCGGGAAACACAAAACACAAAGTCAAGTCCTGCATGCAGAAAATCACATCGTCTGTACAGAAAGTAAACGCCGGCGCAGAGGAGGAAGAAACACGCTGTCTGCTCATGACGTCCTAAAACCTCACATCTCCGGGTAAATAACAGGAACACTGCAAGAGGGCGGGGCCACATCTCACCTCACTATCCAAAGGCTGACACGCCAACGCCACAGTCAGAGTGTCCTGATGTACGGAGGCTCAGAGGAAACAAAAAGCACCAGCAGCTTAATTAAATATACATCAATTAAAACATTAAATTTATTTGACTGAATCTGTTTAAATATAAACTTTTCATTTTTAAACCTGATGTTTCATCGTGGTCACTATCACAGATATAATGATATAAATATATTTGTTTTCATAGACAGTTGTTGTTGTTGACACTTTTCAGTGATGTTCAAAATGTTTTGTTACTGTTAAACACTCGTCTCAATAAAGTTGTTTATTTTCTGTCAATAATCAAATCAACATCTGCAAAATCTGGAATTAAAGAACTGGAGTTTTGTTTTTCTCTAAAAACAAAGTTAGTCTTAAAAATCCAGTAATTCGTAATAAGTCACATTGTTTTTACATTTTATGTTAATTTAAACTCTCGGCTCGTCTCTTATTTTGTCCCCTGTGAGCCTCCGTACAGATGAGTGTAATATGGCCGTCCCGGTGACAGATGACGTGATTGTGACAGTGACTCTGATTGGTCACTGCTTTTATTTACTTCAGTTCTTAAAACAATCAGGAGTCCGTTTGTTGAGCCAGACGTCATTCTGCATCCCCACGGAGACCGATCATGTGATCATGTGATCATGTGATCATGTGACGTACGGAGGTCCAGAGACAACGCGTAGAGTTACAGCTCAGCAACTTTAAACGTTTTAAACTCTAATTAGATTTAACTTTATTTATGATTTAGGCATTAAAACAAAATCAGGGCACGTCATCTGTCCTCCTCATGTTTCCTTCCTTCCTTCCTTCCTTCCTCTCACAGATCTTTTAAATCTAAAACATGTTGTAAAGTTTATTCTGCTAACGAAGCCCAGAGTGGTGCGCAGGCAGCAGACAGACAGCTCGTTAGGGAACCTCGTTAAGGCCCTCCTCATTAGGACACCTGTGTGTGTGTGTGTGGGGGGGGGGAGGGGGGGGGTGTAGGCGTGGCTGTTCATGGAAGATCGCAGGTCGGAGAGCGCTGGAAGCCTGTGGAGCTCTCCGAGCCCGATGGAAGCAGAGAGATGAACATCCAAACCTCGTTTCCTGAACCGCTCGTTAGAATTATATTAAATATAAAACATTAAATTTCACCTGTGTGAAGACTTTACGACTCAGACGCGTCAGGTTCTCGTCGCTTATTAGACCCAATTATCAGAATTAATTACATAAATACAGATATTTTCATGTCGGGCAGTAAAATGTGTCGTTTGTTTATTTATTTTTTATTATCAATTAACAGGAAGTAAAAATAAACAAATCTGTTCTTTAATCAGCTGGTTCACGTCAGTGACGATGAGATAATGGGTCTAATAACGATCAGTAACCATGACGACACCCAGACTGTGTATACAGTTATAATTTTACTCTCTATAGTTATTATCACTGTCAAGTGGAAACCTCGTATCTCCAGAATTTGTCAGGTTTTCATTTTAATAGAATCATCGAAGAATAAAAATCAATCAGTGACGCTTCGTTAACAACTAAACTTATTCTGTAATTAATTCCACTTATAACCCTCTTAACTGACAAAGAACCCATTAAGAAGCCCTTAATTAATCTTAACAAATTTACAACACTGTAACGAAGGTACGTTTAATTAAAGGGGTTAATTACAATGTTTTAATTCAAAATATTAATATATGAAGTCATGATTCATCGTGTTCATTTAAAAGCTCGTCATATATAAATATCTTCATGAATTCACCTCAAATAAAAATGATTCAACCTGCAACATTATTTTAATATGATTAAAAACCCTTAATTAATACAGATGAACTTTTAAAAACCCTTAAAACATTCAGGTCCATTGATGTATTCGATAATCTGATAAATATCTCATTACTGGTTATTAATAAGTCTCACGTTTATGAACGATGTTAATGAGGTTATCATGAGGTGATTTCAGGAGATAATTAAGATATAATTAAAAATTAATTAAGAGCTAATTAAGAGGTATTTAAAGGAGTCAGATGTGAAGGAGGCGTCGCTCCTGTCCCTCATCCTGACAGAGGAGATAAGAGGTTTCCACACGTTATTACACTCTGTGCAGCTGAAATCCAAAGGAGCTGAGAAGAGGAAGCTGATTGGTTGATTGTGCAGTTCACTGCTCTGTGGCCCCGCCCCTCGTCTCCTCTCAAACTTCCTGTCTGGTGTCACACGCCTGGCCTGCTGTCAATCAATCAGTTGTCAAGGCGACGGTGGCCCCATCAAAGACCCGCCCACTCTGGAATTTAGCTGGAAGGACAGAAGAAGACGACCCGTCAACAAACAAACAAAATATTTATTAAAACATGCCTGAATGTAGCGATCTGACGCGTCGCCACAGAGGTGCTGTTTGTTTAAGTAACAGAACGAAGCTACAACACGAGAACAAGGTGAAGTTATGGCTTGTTACAACCTGGTCTCACTTAAAAGTCATCGACAACTGGCGCTTGGGCCGTGACTTCCAGGCACCAACAAAACAAGCCGTCCTTAAACATCAGCATGATACATGGCTTGTTGCTGTTATAGTTTAATGGCGTTCTGCAGCGTTGGGGGAAACAGGGCGGGACAACAATGAAAGTTAAAGCGGCAGTCCGAGTGGGGAGGGAGGGCTGTTGGGTCCAACAACCACTGACTTTCACCCAGGAGGCCGGTGTTCACTTCCTGTAAGATTGTAAAGCCACATCCTGTTCTTTTTTCCTAAACGTAACCACGTGTGTGTGTTGGCTAAATGTAAACACGTGTGTGTGTTGGCTGAACGTAACCACATGTGTGTGTGTTGGCTAAATGTAACCATGTGTGTGTGTTGGCTAAATGTAACCATGTGTGTGTGTTGGCTAAACGTAACCACGTGTGTGTGTCGGCTAAATGTAACCATGTGTGTGTGTTGGCTAAATGTAACCACGTGTGTGTGTGTTGGCTAAACGTAACCACGCATGTGTGTTGGCTAAACGTAACCACGTGTGTGTGTTGGCTAAACGTAACCACATGTTGTGAAGGTGAGTGGAAACTTTTGTAGAGCCAATAGTGTGTTGCAGGGATGATGTTTTTCTGAAGTTAGCGTCGCCATGGTTATCTCGTCAAACAGCATCCGGGATTTTTCTACTGAATTTTGGATTATTGCGGACAATAAACTCGGTGACAAACAAATATTTCTGATCCTGACAGGTTTTGCTCAGTAAGATAAAAAGCTACATTAGGCCGTAAACAAACTACACCACAGTCACATGACCTAACGTCATCGCCACAGCGAGGCTGTAACATCATGTTTGACGTGATGGCATTCTGTAGTCTCATCTTGTCACAGACACATAAAGCTGTAAATTGACTGTGGGGTATTTACTGACGTCTCCTCAGCTTGGGTTAACACCAGGGAACAGGAAGTGCTAACATGCTAACATGCTAACTCACTCCTCCAAGCGATTGTGAACACAAGGCTAACGTTATTTTTACAGCGACAATTTAAAATATATATTTAGCAGTCTCCGTCTGTAAAACGTACAGCTGAGAGTCTGGGACTCGCATATGTGCACGTCTAAAAAGGCGACTCTCTGGCTCTGCAGGGAGATGTCTCTCGTTTTAACTGTCCTCTGACCTCTGACCTGTCTGATGGTGATCAAACTGACCTCTGACCTGTTCTTACTTGCTGAGCGTGGAGGGGGAGCCTGAGCGGTGGAAATGCACGATCTGCCACTTCCCGTCGCGGCGGTGCCACACCCTGGTCTCCTCTGATTGGGCGGTGCGAGGCGTCCCGTTGGCGTCGATGTACTGTGTCACTCTGATGTAAGCAATGCAGGCGGCCTCGTCCCCGACAAGGTGGATGTGAGGGTTCAGGATGGTGGTGTGGACCGGTTTACTGTTCTTAGACCACACTGAGGACACACAGACATAGCAGACACGTGTTAGAGTAACGTATACGACCATAACAAAACCGTCAGTCACACAGGAAGTTTAGTTCAGCTCACAGTTTTCAAAATAAAAGCGGTGGAAGTCCAGGCCTTCAACCAGATTCCCCAACGCCTCGGGCTCGAACGCCGTCACAGCCGGGTCACACATTTTACTGAGAGGACAGACAGTTACAGTCAGGACAGATTTTTCACAATAAGAGTGCTACAGTGATCAACGTTAGTCTGTAAATGATCGTCCACATGATAACGATAATGACGTGTCCACACTGATCTACAGTGGACGACAATACAAAGTGCTAACATGCTAACATGCTAACTCATGTTGCTGCAGTGAGAGGTTAGTAATATTTTATCTCATATTGGCATCATTGACATACAACGTGTCTGTTGAGCCGTATTTTCTCTGAAATGTAAAATATTTTCACTCTGCTGATGTATTCCGGAGTAAATGACGTTATCCTCATCATCTTTCTCTCGGCTGCTTGTCACTATCTGCCTGGGGCTGTTTAACAGCGGCACATGCTGTGTCTCAAATCACGTACTTCTGTACTTACATTTAATATTTTGAGTGCATAAGTGCATTCACACTCATAGATATTTACACATAGATGCTGCACCCTGGCTTGTGGGCTGCGTCAATACCGCCGCCATCTTGCCTAGGTGCTCTGACCGGTTCAGACCCGTGTCAGACTCGGCAAAAATGCCACATTTTTGCTCTGCATTTGGGTGTACGAACGAGAGAAGTGTTAAAACCAAGCAGAAGGGAATAACATTCCACAGGTAAGAAGTTGTTTTACAATATTTTACTGTTACGAACATGTTTAATGAGATATATATCTCAAAAAGTGATCCTTCTTTAAGCTAATCAAGTAAAGTAACTGTCCTGATCTGGTCCTAATGCCAAATTAAGCTAACGCTATGTCACACAACTTAAAGAAAAAAGGTTAACATTTATATAATATTACTTATAAAATTATGATGCTTTGTCAAACAGCTATGTCGGTGTATGTGTTATTCCAAATTGTCAACTATCTGTTTCATGGCACCAACGTGACATAACGCAGTATAACGTTAGTAGTTAACTTGTGGCCTGAATTGTAACTACAAATTATGTGGAACTGCGTTTTTCTGACACACTTATTTTGTGTGTAGTTTCCCAAAAAACACAGATAGGAGACGGGCATGGGTAGCAGCAGTGAGGAGAAAGGACTTTGTCCCGAGTGACTCCTCAGTCATCTGCAGCTGTCACTTCAGACCTGAGGACTTCGACAGGACTGGGCAGACTCCTAAAAATAATACTAGCTACTGTACACTGTATTTTTTGTAAATATGACCTAATAATGTAAACAGTTCTGTGTCCAGGCTCCCATGAGCACTGTGGTGTTATACATATGAGATTAAAGCAAAATTTTGTGTAAACATGCAGCTCTAAGTCATTTATTTTCACTTGTACAAAACCAACATTTGTTAATCAGAATCTACACTGCAGCTCGGCACAACCCTGCTGATACACTATTTTTTGCACATTGTGTGAAATGTGAATAAACATTTATAGTCAAAATTAATAATTAAATGACATCATGGTGAGCATTGTACATCTAGTAAAAAAAAAGAATATTTATTACATGGGGAAAGTTTAGTTTAAATGTGTTGTAGAACTATTACTGTTACGTTATCTACATAAGATCAAATATTTTGGTATGAAAAGCTGCATTTTTTATTTAACCAAGTATCCTGTATCATAACTACATGTCTGACAATTGTAACAAACCAAACCGCATGAAAATCGGTTGAGAATTCAGCGAGTAATGATGATTTTAATCATAAATAATCTCCTGCCTTAATAGATGTATGCATTAGGCAGCGCGGCGCCACCTGGGCAAGATGGCGGCTGCGTTGACGTATCGCTCCAATGAGGAGTGCCGTTGAATGCGGCATCTACGTATATATATATCTATGGTTCACACTGAGAAGTATGGAAAATGCAGTGCACTATGAGTACCTGGATGGTGCACTTAAAACGGTCAAGAAGTTGAGTGTGGAACTATGGACACTTCTCGCCTTCAATGGTTGCCATCTTGGCTATGTAGCGGAAGTGGAGGGACCACAGGAAATGGCGGCCGAGGACTGTGCGACCGTGAATGTCGCTGCATTGTACAAATACATGTGTTTTTTGCACTAAGCACCACTATACTGCTGTCAGGTCTAAAGGCTCATTTATGCTCCCTTTACGTACGAAAATGTATACGTCTGTTTCAAACGATGTTACCGTCACTGCCCACATACTTCCATGCGCCCTTTACGTTGGCATGGGTGTTAACCAATATATCCACCAGGGGGCAGCCCAGAGTCAAAAGTTTATGACAACAACAAACTCAGAAACAAACATGGCGACTGTGGAGGAAATATTGATAATGTGCCTCTTGCATAAAAGACAAAAACAGAGGCAGCGTTGTAGGAGGCGGTGGTCGGTGAGGCCGTTAAATACATCGTGACTGGAGGACGGAGAATTCTTTTCTCTAGTACTGACGAGAGAAACTGAATTGTTATTTCTTCTTCGTGTCTCACTAGAGCTACGTATCGGGTAGTGACAGCAACACTGCCCCCACGGTTCCCGGTGGTACTGCTCCGTTTGGCCCGTATCCATAAGCTTTATGGAAACGTGCAGAAATACGGACGAAATGAACGCAGAGCACGGACAGAAGGCTGCGTTTGTATCCGGATCCGTATTTAACGTTGAGCATAAATGAGCCTTAAGCCAGCACTGTGTTTATTGGGTTAATTTAGCAGTCTGTAATGATTTGGTACCACAAATGATAACGAATGCTAATGCTAGTTTGCTAACTAGCTAATTTGCGGTCATCATTTCCGGTGAGTGCACAACGGCCGTGTTTGGTTTGAGACAACGAAATTCGCTCACTACGCCAATAAGAACATAGTGCACATAGTATACTACATGGAAGTGTGCTAACAGAAGTTTGTGATTTGAGACACAGTGACAGAGAATTTCAAAATAAAGGTTTACACTAAAGATGATGATACAGATCATTACTTTCACTTTGCATTGATGATATTAAATAGTTGATCATCAAGTTGTTACACTGATCAAGATCAATGGATTGTTACACCCAGAGTAAAAAAGGATGCACGATAATATCGACATATCAGTATCGGCCGATATCGGCTTTAAAATGACTGATCAGAATTGGCCAACATGACTTTTCTTATTTTGCACAATTTACAGGCACTGAACAGTGTTTCATGTCTCCATCTGCTGATGGGCCGTCACCATCACAGTCTGTGTGTATAATATGTGAATTCACTACAGAAGAGACTTGATGATGATCACTGACATCAGGAGGGAGAAAGGAGGATATATCGATATCTGTACCGGTTATTACAGATCAGCATATCGGCAACAAATACAATATCATGCATCTCTAGTAGTAAACAGTGGCACCAAGGACAACTCCTCTGTTCACCTGAGTTAAAACAATTACAGTCATTTTTATCGTTCTGGTTGTGGTCGGATCTTTAAACAGGAAGGGACTTTCACAATAAGAGCCTCATCAGTTTGTTACATACGTGTAGCTCTCAAAGTCTCCATTGCTGATCGCCTCGATGAGCTGCTCTGTGACTTTGATGATGTCCTGTTTTCTCACTGATGGACAGACAGACAGACAGACAGACAGACAGGTTAGTATCATAGTTGAAACGTCTGTATTTCCTGGGTCTAGACGTTTGGATCTGCCCACTCCACTGAGTTTAAGCTGACAGCTTCTGGTCTGACATTGTGACGTCAAACAGCTGCTTCACAGTTAAAATTAAAAAAACAACACATAGCAGTGTGGTGGGAGTCAGGCAGCCAATCAGCCCCATGGGCGGGACCAATGCTGTCATCAGGCTGTTGTCAGGTGGTGCATCAGGACCTGCTGCTGTCGAGGCTGTTCTACGTCAGCATGTCTGCTCATTATCGTCTCATATCATATTTTATTTTTACTTCGCTCTGCTCCATCCACCAAACAGCTCCGACAACTGTCACATAACAAGCAAGCTCCGCCTTTTCAGTGCACCACAGGTGTACGCTGGCGTGTTAATGGTGTGGAGCCACTCGGGCGGATATGTTGGTCTCTTGTGAGTTAGAGCAAAACACTCAGTCCATTTCCATGACATCAGAGGAAATGGACTTATTTAAAATCTCTGTAAACATGTCAGTGTGAGTGAAATGTTCCTGCAGTGAATGTGTCACAGTGGGACTAACACACCCAGATCACGTGACTCCTGCATGTATACAGTCAATCAGACCCAAACTGGCCGAGGCGCTCTGAGCATGCTCCACAGTTTCCGCCCCGGGCTTTGACCCGGAAGTCCAATAGCATTAAATGTGTAAGAGAAGAAGAAGCCGGTAACAACATGGAGAAATCTACATCCAGAGCCGTGACTTTTTGGACGGACCAAATGTACAGAGCTGTAAAGTTGTCCACCATGGTAGCAGTTAGCTGCTAGCTAACCGTAGCTAACTTGTTTGTCCATTGTTTGGTCTGTGACGTAATAGGTCAACAGGAAAAAGGTCCAATACTAACAAGCTGAAAGGGGGCATATCTCCACCTATCGTAGAGGAGTCGCACATACTTGGCTCAATAAATGGATTCCCCTCCCGTGCTTGTATACTGGGACAAGGACAGTAGGCCAGTTAGATGTCCTCGTCCAGCTGGGACTGTAGAAACACTTCACTGTTACCATGGAAACATACTGAGTGTCTCAGTGAAGATGGAAACAGAGTGAAACAAGTTCTGTTTGAATCGGCCTGTCAATCATCACTGTGTGTGTGTGTGTGTGTGTGTGTGTGTGTGTGTGTGTGTGTGTACCTCTGGTATCTTCATCCTCGATGGTGGTGTTTGTGCTCTCAGATGATTCCTACAACAACAACAAAGATCAGCTCATTCAGCCACAGTCTCTGTCAGTGCCGGCATTTGATTGGCTGTTAGACCTCAACAAGGCGGGTCTTATCTAATGAGTTGGAGAATCAAAACAAAATCAAACCTGCTAATGTCACGTAAAGTTATCAATAAAATTAAAGGGACAGTTGAGAGTTTTGCAGTGTGGTTGTGTGAGGCACTGATCCACAGTCAGAGTGTTTCCTACAGCAGACGTCAGTCAGCTGGTGGAGTCTGACATGAAGCTCAGTGACATCCTGCTGTGGGCGGAGTCAGCAACAAGACGTATTTTAACCACCTAAAAAAGTCTAGTTTAAGTGTTTGATATATTTAGATTATGTTCACAGCTTTACCTTAATGTCAGCCTGTTTGAGCCTCGTCACAGTCACCAGACTCCATTGAGAAAAACAGTGATTTAACATCAGTGAACATGGAGCTGCTGGTCGACTGCTGCCTCCATCTGTTAGTGTGTTTGTGTCACTGTGTGACTTTGGTGAATCTAAATTAACCCTTTAAACACAGTGTGCGCATCCCTCACACTGGGTGCTTTTATTGTGTCACACACTGATAATTCCCACACGCAAACGGCAACAAATATGTTCCAAATATGTGGGTGTGTGTTATAACGGAGTGTGTCACATGACACTGTGAGACAACACACACCTGATGATACACAGGACAGTGCTAAGTTATAGTCACTAATATATAGTCAGTAATAATAATAACAATAATAATAATACTAATAACAATAATAATAACAATAATAATAAGAGCAACAATAATAATAATAACAATAACAATAATAATAATAACAATAAAAACAATAACAATAACAAATAATAACAATAACAACAATAATAATAATAAATAAATAATTAAACAAAGAGGAGTTTACCTTGACTCCGTCGGCCTTCTTGTTGCTTCCACTCTTTCCTCCTGATCGAGGGATGAGGACGAAGAGAAACAAAAGCAGCAGAGTCAGAAAGAAAGGAACGAACGCAGAGAAGAGGAGAGATGGCATGGTAACCTCTGCCTACATGTCTCCCAGCAAACTGACAGGAAGTACTTCAAAATAAAACAACAACTTTAAAACGGTTTTACAGTCCAATCTGACTGAAGAAGGACGGAGGAAATAAAATGACTTCAAATAAAAGACAAGAGTCCTGACGAAGACAGAGCTGCTTCCTGTCCAAGAGTCTGACTTCAGCTGGTCCTCTGTCTGTGTGTCTGTCTGTGTGTCTGTCTGTCTGACTGTCTGTGTGTCTGTGTGTCTGACTGTCTGTGTGTCTGTGTGTCTGACTGTCTGTGTGTCTGTCTGTGTGTCTGTCTGTCTGACTGTCTGTGTGTCTGTGTGTCTGACTGTCTGTGTGTCTGTCTGTGTGTCTGTCTGTGTGTCTGACTGTCTGTCTGTCTGTGTGTCTGTCTGTCTGACTGTCTGCGTGTCTGTCTGTGTGTCTGTCTGTCTGTTTGTCTGTCTGTCTGTCTGTGTGTCTGTCTGTGTGTCTGTGTGTCTGTGTGTCTGTGTGTGACTGCAGAGCGGTTGTAGGATGGTTGCATACATACAGACAGACAGACAGACAGACAGACAGACAGACAGCCGCAGAGAGTGGAGGCCAAATTTAGGTTCAACTTGAGATAATAGCAAAGACACATTCCTGTGTTCACACTCACGACACATTTATAACTCGTTTACGTTGACCTCATTAATCAGATCAATGTTTTATATTAACAAACACGTTTTAATCATCTATCTGTCTGTCTGTCTGTGTGTCTGTCTGTCTGCCTCTGTCGGTGATTTCCAGTCTATTTTTAGCTCAGTGGTTCCTGAGTGTGTTTGAAACTTTATGACAGCTGCTGCTGACACACACACACACACACACACACAGTGTTAACCTGTTAATTGTGTGTAAGCGGGCAGCTGATTGGTTAGTCTCTGTGTCTGCTACTGTGACACCAACAGGTCAAAGGTCAAACACAATGAGACTCGACAGCAGCTGGAAACTTACCAGAGAAATTCCTGGTGGCCAACATGGTGGTCAGGATGGCTCCCTGAAGGAAAGGAGACAAGGAGAGAAGGCAGGGAGGAGGGAAAAGAAAGGAAGGAAAGAAAAGAGGGAAAGGAAAGAGGGGAGGATAAGACAGAAGGAAGGAAGGAAGGAAGAGAAGAAGGGGCAGAGAAAAGAAGGAAAGAAGCAAAGGAGGAAAGAAGGTAAAGGATAAAGTATGGGAAGAATAAAAGGAGGAAGGAAAGAATAGAGGGAGGAAGGCAGGAAGAAAGGAAGAAGGTGGGGAGGATGAATATGGAAAGGACAGAAGAAGGAAAAGAAGAACAAGGTAAGAGAGGAAGGAAGCAGGGGAATGAAAGGACGGGAAAGTAAAGCAAGGAAGAGAGGGAGGGAAGAAGGTACATTCCAACAGCGCTCAGCAGTTTGTCACAGAGAGTCGCTCCAACACTCACAGTGAGTGTGGCGCTCTGAGAGTGTGGCGCTCTGCTCTGAGAGTGTGGCGCTCTGAGAGTGTGGCGCTCTGCTCTGAGAGTGTGGCGCTCTGAGAGTGTGGCGCTCTGCTCTGAGAGTGTGGCGCTCTGAGAGTGTGGCGCTCTGAGAGTGTGGTGCTCTACTCTGAGAGTGTGGCGCTCTGCCCTGAGAGTGTGGTGCTCTGCTTTGAGAGTGTGGCGCTCTGAGAGTGTGGCGCTCTGAGAGTATGGCGCTCTGTTCTGAGAGTGTGGCGCTCTGCTCTGAGAGTGTGGCGCTCTGCTCTGAGAGTATGGCGCTCTGTTCTGAGAGTGTGGCGCTCTGCTCTGAGAGTGTGGCGCTCCGCTCTGAGAGTATGGCGCTCTGTTCTGAGAGTGTGGCGCTCTGCTCTGAGAGTGTGGCGCTCTGCTCTGAGAGTATGGCGCTCTGTTCTGAGAGTATGGCGCTCTGCTCTGAGAGTGTGGCGCTCTGCTCTGAGAGTATGGCGCTCTGTTCTGAGAGTGTGGCGCTCTGCTCTGAGAGTGTGGCGCTCTGCTCTGAGAGTATGGCGCTCTGTTCTGAGAGTGTGGCGCTCTGCTCTGAGAGTGTGGCGCTCTGCTCTGAGAGTATGGCGCTCTGTTCTGAGAGTGTGGCGCTCTGCTCTGAGAGTGTGGCGCTCTGCTCTGAGAGTATGGCGCTCTGTTCTGAGAGTGTGGCGCTCTGCTCTGAGAGTGTGGCGCTCCGCTCTGAGAGTATGGCGCTCTGTTCTGAGAGTGTGGCGCTCTGCTCTGAGAGTGTGGCGCTCTGCTCTGAGAGTATGGCGCTCTGTTCTGAGAGTGTGGCGCTCTGCTCTGAGAGTGTGGCGCTCTGCTCTGAGAGTATGGCGCTCTGTTCTGAGAGTGTGGCGCTCTGCTCTGAGAGTGTGGCGCTCCGCTCTGAGAGTATGGCGCTCTGTTCTGAGAGTGTGGCGCTCTGCTCTGAGAGTGTGGCGCTCTGCTCTGAGAGTATGGCGCTCTGTTCTGAGAGTGTGGCGCTCTGCTCTGAGAGTGTGGCGCTCTGCTCTGAGAGTATGGCGCTCTGTTCTGAGAGTGTGGCGCTCTGCTCTGAGAGTGTGGCGCTCCGCTCTGAGAGTATGGCGCTCTGTTCTGAGAGTGTGGCGCTCTGCTCTGAGAGTGTGGCGCTCTGCTCTGAGAGTATGGCGCTCTGTTCTGAGAGTGTGGCGCTCTGCTCTGAGAGTGTGGCGCTCTGCTCTGAGAGTATGGCGCTCTGTTCTGAGAGTGTGGCGCTCTGCTCTGAGAGTGTGGCGCTCCGCTCTGAGAGTATGGCGCTCTGTTCTGAGAGTGTGGCGCTCTGCTCTGAGAGTGTGGCGCTCTGCTCTGAGAGTATGGCGCTCTGTTCTGAGAGTGTGGCGCTCTGCTCTGAGAGTGTGGCGCTCCGCTCTGAGAGTATGGCGCTCTGTTCTGAGAGTGTGGCGCTCTGCTCTGAGAGTGTGGCGCTCTGCTCTGAGAGTATGGCGCTCTGTTCTGAGAGTGTGGCGCTCTGCTCTGAGAGTGTGGCGCTCTGCTCTGAGAGTATGGCGCTCTGTTCTGAGAGTGTGGCGCTCTGCTCTGAGAGTGTGGCGCTCTGCTCTGAGAGTATGGCGCTCTGTTCTGAGAGTGTGGCGCTCTGCTCTGAGAGTGTGGCGCTCTGCTCTGAGAGTATGGCGCTCTGTTCTGAGAGTGTGGCGCTCTGCTCTGAGAGTGTGGCGCTCTGCTCTGAGAGTATGGCGCTCTGTTCTGAGAGTGTGGCGCTCTGCTCTGAGAGTGTGGCGCTCTGCTCTGAGAGTATGGCGCTCTGTTCTGAGAGTGTGGCGCTCTGCTCTGAGAGTGTGGCGCTCTGCTCTGAGAGTATGGCGCTCTGTTCTGAGAGTGTGGCGCTCTGCTCTGAGAGTGTGGCGCTCTGCTCTGAGAGTATGGCGCTCTGTTCTGAGAGTGTGGCGCTCTGCTCTGAGAGTGTGGCGCTCTGCTCTGAGAGTATGGCGCTCTGTTCTGAGAGTGTGGCGCTCTGCTCTGAGAGTGTGGCGCTCTGCTCTGAGAGTATGGCGCTCTGTTCTGAGAGTGTGGCGCTCTGCTCTGAGAGTGTGGCGCTCTGCTCTGAGAGTATGGCGCTCTGTTCTGAGAGTGTGGCGCTCTGCTCTGAGAGTGTGGCGCTCTGCTCTGAGAGTATGGCGCTCTGTTCTGAGAGTGTGGCGCTCTGCTCTGAGAGTGTGGCGCTCCGCTCTGAGAGTATGGCGCTCTGTTCTGAGAGTGTGGCGCTCTGCTCTGAGAGTGTGGCGCTCTGCTCTGAGAGTATGGCGCTCTGTTCTGAGAGTATGGCGCTCTGCTCTGAGAGTGTGGCGCTCTGCTCTGAGAGTATGGCGCTCTGTTCTGAGAGTGTGGCGCTCTGCTCTGAGAGTGTGGCGCTCTGCTCTGAGAGTATGGCGCTCTGTTCTGAGAGTGTGGCGCTCTGCTCTGAGAGTGTGGCGCTCTGCTCTGAGAGTATGGCGCTCTGTTCTGAGAGTGTGGCGCTCTGCTCTGAGAGTGTGGCGCTCTGCTCTGAGAGTATGGCGCTCTGTTCTGAGAGTGTGGCGCTCTGCTCTGAGAGTGTGGCGCTCTGCTCTGAGAGTATGGCGCTCTGTTCTGAGAGTGTGGCGCTCTGCTCTGAGAGTGTGGCGCTCTGCTCTGAGAGTATGGCGCTCTGTTCTGAGAGTGTGGCGCTCTGCTCTGAGAGTGTGGCGCTCTGCTCTGAGAGTATGGCGCTCTGTTCTGAGAGTGTGGCGCTCTGCTCTGAGAGTGTGGCGCTCTGCTCTGAGAGTATGGCGCTCTGTTCTGAGAGTGTGGCGCTCTGCTCTGAGAGTGTGGCGCTCTGCTCTGAGAGTATGGCGCTCTGTTCTGAGAGTGTGGCGCTCTGCTCTGAGAGTGTGGCGCTCTGCTCTGAGAGTATGGCGCTCTGTTCTGAGAGTGTGGCGCTCTGCTCTGAGAGTGTGGCGCTCTGCTCTGAGAGTATGGCGCTCTGTTCTGAGAGTGTGGCGCTCTGCTCTGAGAGTGTGGCGCTCTGCTCTGAGAGTATGGCGCTCTGTTCTGAGAGTGTGGCGCTCTGCTCTGAGAGTGTGGCGCTCTGCTCTGAGAGTATGGCGCTCTGCTCTGAGAGTGTGGCGCTCTGCTCTGAGAGTATGGCGCTCTGCTCTGAGAGTGTGGCGCTCTGCTCTGAGAGTATGGCGCTCTGTTCTGAGAGTGTGCTGCTCTGAGAGTGTGGCGCTCTGCTCTGAGAGTATGGCGCTCTGTTCTGAGAGTGTGGCGCTCTGAGAGTGTGGCGCTCTGCTCTGAGAGTATGGCGCTCTGTTCTGAGAGTGTGGCGCTCTGCTCTGAGAGTGTGGCGCTCTGAGAGTGTGGCGCTCTGAGAGTGTGGTGCTCTGAGAGTGTGGTGGTCTGAGAGTGTGGTGCTCTGAGAGTGTGGTGGTCTGCCCTGAGAGTGTGGCGCTCTGAGAGTGTGGCGCTCTGCTCTGAGAGTATGGCGCTCTGTTCTGAGAGTGTGGCGCTCTGCTCTGAGAGTGTGGCGCTCTGAGAGTGTGGCGCTCTGAGAGTGTGGTGCTCTGAGAGTGTGGTGGTCTGAGAGTGTGGTGCTCTGAGAGTGTGGTGGTCTGCCCTGAGAGTGTGGCGCTCTGAGAGTGTGGCGCTCTGCTCTGAGAGTATGGCGCTCTGTTCTGAGAGTGTGGCGCTCTGCTCTGAGAGTGTGGTGCTCTGCTCTGAAAGTGTGGCGCTCTGACAGTGTGGCGCTCTGACAGTGTGGCGCTCTGAATAACAGAATGGCTATGTGTGTTACAGAGCATTGCTCTGACACTAGCAGTGACCTCTGACCTACCTTTAGTTTCCTCCTGGCGTTGAACTTCTTCAGACACTCGACTGTTTCCTGTCTGTGCATACAGGACGCCACTGTGGAGCGATGCTGTGAGGAAGACATCATCATCATCATCATCCTCATCGTCATGGTGATAAACATGTAAATGTGCTGAGTGTGTATGAGAGTGCAGCTCACAGAGATCCAGGGATGTTTGAGCGCCTCGGCTGCTGTGATCCGTTTGGACGGGTTAATGGTCAACATCTTATTAATGAGGTCTTTGGCTTCAGGGGTCACCGTGTCCCACTCTGGGGACGGAAACTACAGGAGGACAGGAGGAGGACATGAGGAGAGGAGGACAGGAGGAGAGGAAGACAGGAGGACAGAAGGAGAGGAGGACAGAAGGACAGGAGAAGAGGAAGACAGGAGGAGAGGAGAAGAGGAAGACAGCAGAGGGGTAGGAGGAGAAGAGGACAGGAGGGGGACAAAGGAGTCAAAGTGAGCATATGTTTAGTCACACCCCTACCTCAACACACCACTGGCCAATTACTGAGCTCGTCATGAAACTATAGGTAAACAGTCAACTGAGGACATGCAGGGTCATGTGACAGAGGTGCAGGGTCATGTGACAGAGGCGCAGGGTCATGTGACAGAGGTGCAGGGTCATGTGACAGAGGTGCAGGGTCATGTGACAGAGGCGCAGGGTCATGTGACAGAGGCGCAGGGTCATGTGACAGAGGTGCAAGGTCATGTGACAGAGGCGCAGGGTCATGTGACAGAGGTACAGGGTCATGTGACAGAGGTGCAGGGTCATGTGACAGAGGTGCAGGGTCATGTGACAGAGGTGCAGGGTCATGTGACAGAGGTGCAGGGTCATGTGACAGAGGTGCAGGGTCATGTGACAGAGGTGCAGGGTCATGTGACAGAGGTGCAGGGTCATGTGACAGAGGTGCAGGGTCATGTGACAGAGGTGCAGGGTCATGTGACAGAGGTGCAGGGTCATGTGACAGAGGTGCAGGGTCATGTGACAGAGGTGCAGGGTCATGTGACAGAGGTGCAGGGTCATGTGACAGAGGTGCAGGGTCATGTGACAGAGGTGCAGGGTCATGTGACAGAGGTGCAGGGTCATGTGACAGAGGTGCAGGGTCATGTGACAGAGGTACAGGGTCATGTGACAGAGGTACAGGGCCATGTTACCTACATCATAAGCTCCAGCTTTGATCTGCTGGTAGAGACGATGTTGATCTTCATCCCAGAAAGGAGGGTAACCGACCAATAAGATGTAGAGAATCACACCTGTGAGACGCAAACAGACACACCTGAGAGAGGATACAAGGAGACAAGGAAAAGAATCAAGGAAACAAGGAAACAGTAGTAGAATCTGACCACAGGCCCAAAGGTCGACTGCTTTGCCGTATGGATCCTTCCTCAACACCTCTGGGGACAGGTAACCTGGAGTCCCCGCAAAGCCTGGAAACAAATGCACAGAGGATGCACAGGTTACTAGGTGCTTGCTGAGGTGTTGTGAATGAAAATAAATAAATAAAATAAAATAAAACGAGAAACAAAGTTCATTAAAATAAAGCAAATTACAGTGAAATAAAAATAATGTAAAATAAAATTAAGTAAAATATAAAAACAAAGTAAAAGTGATGAAAGAATTAATTTAAATAAAATAAAAATAAACTGCAGACAAAAATATATGAAATAAAATAAAATAAGAATAAAACAAAGGACATGTTTAATAAACTACAGAAAAAAATAACTAGACTAGTGTTAAAATTAAAATGAGTAAAAAAAATAAAATAAAACAAAATTAATTAAAAAGTACAATTCAGTAGACTGAGATAAAATAAAACAGAAGGAAAGGATAAAATATAATTAATGTGTAGCATAACTAAATAAATGTAAAATAAAATGTAAAAATATATATAAAATGATGTAAATTTATATACAAAACATAAAGTATTATTTTATAAATATAAATAAATGAATAAGTAATAAAAAAATAAAAAGAAATAATAAGACGAAATAAAGTAAATTAAATAGAATCCCATAAAATAAAACAGATAAATGAAAACTTCTTTTAAATTAAATAAAATAAATTGGAAGTAAAAGTATTACTGCAGCAGTCCTACAGTATCAGTGACGTCTTACCAAACCAGGCCTGCTGGTCTCCCTCCACCTCGATGGCGAGGCCAAAGTCGGCCAGTTTCACTGCCGCTCCTTTTGACTTTGAGGCCAGCAGGAGGTTCTCTGGCTGGAGACACAGAGGAGAGGCTAACATGCTAACTCTGCCCATTAGTTTACATAGAAGAGGCAAACATGCTAACTCTGCACGTTAGTTTACATAGGAGAGGCTAACAGCTAACTCTGCCCATTAGCTTACATAGGAGAGGCTAACAGCTAACTCTGCCTATTAGTTTACATAGGAGACGCTAACAGCTAACTCTGCCCATTACTTTACATAGGAAAGGCTAACAGCCAACTCTGCCCATTACTTTACATAGGAGACGCTAACAGCGAACTCTGCCCATTAGCTTACATAGGAGAGGCTAACACGCTAACTCTGCCCATTAGTTTACATAGGAGAGGCTAACACGCTAACTCTGCCCATTAGTTTACGTAGCGGATATAAGAATACAACAACATTATATAAAAACACTAAAAACGCATTTGAACACGTTACAGTCAGACAGATACCTTCAGGTCTCGGTGGACCACGCCCATCTGGTGACAATGTAGCACCGCCTCTAAAATCTGTTGGATACAGTGACTGTAGACAGAGACAGAGGTCAGGGGTCAGGGGTCAGAGGTCAAGGGTCCCATCAGTGACAGTGTCATATGTAGTGATGTGTGTTTCCTACCTGGCGTCAGCTTCACTGTAATATTCTCTGGCTACAATATCTTCAAATAGCTCTCCACCTGTTACCCTGAGGCACAAAAACACCACGGAAGCTTCATGGAGCGCCTTATAAACAACATGACATCATGTGACATTAATAATATCATGATTATCATCACATGTATGTAACATGATGTATCATACAGCAGCACTCACAGGTCAAAGATGAGGTAATGATGCGCCTCCTCTGAGATGCTGTCATGTAGCCGAACTGAAAAAGGAAACACATGTTAAAACACAGCAACATGTCGCCAACAGTACACAACAACACACAGCTCAATAACACCAATTATAAACGTGTCATAACGCACGCAGAGCAGTGAAACCGTTTATAAACCTGTCATAACGCACGCAGAGCAGTGACACCATTTATAAACATGTCATAAGGCACACAGAGCAGTGACGCTGATTATAAACATGTCATAATGCACACAGAAGCAGTGACGCTGATTATAAACATGTCATAAGGCACACAGAGCAGTGACGCTGATTATAAAAATGTCATAAGGCACACAGAGCAGTGAACAGCTATAAGACTGAAATATGTCTCTGATATGACTCTTTAATGTCTCTGAGCTGTTTCAGATCAGTCTGATAAATATTAAAAAACTAAATAGTGTCTTTGAACAGGAAGTAGTTTTGGGAAAAAAACAGATGTCCTCATGTGAGGACGTTGGGTTTAACAGCCACAGTCTGAAATAAAGAATCAAACTGTTGTTGTGTAAAAACGAAATTACAAATAATGAAACAATCTAAAAGTCTACCTTAATTGTATTTCTTCCATACTCTGAGCAAGGACACTGTCCTTTTGTTTGTAGAGACAGTCTGTCCATAAGTACCAATGTAATCAAACAAGACAAAAAAGTCCCAGTGTCCTCAAACGAGCCGATAATAAAGTCCCAGTGTCCTCAGATGAGTCCTTCCTTATTAACAGCGTCTTATCTTAAATTTAAGGATAGACCGATACATCAGCCGGCCGATATATCGGGCCGATATTTGAGTTTTTTACTTGTATCCGCATCGGCTGATACGCACGTGGGTTCGCGGATTTATTTTTCCCTGGCACTTTTTTTCATTTCAAAGTATGTGGTTAAGTTGAATAAAGCTGTTGAATCCTACTGTGTATAGTAGTTGTTGTTTTATTTATGCTTCAGCTTAAATATTTGTTTATTTTATAAAGACATTACTGGAAGATTTAAGAGCACTGAACTCTTTTTTTTATTTGAATGTATAACAATAATAATAATAATATTCTACCTGTTCTACCTCAACTTTCCATCTTCTTTTAGTATTTTTTACTGTTCAATAAATGTTTCTTATTTTAAACTTGAGACCTGTAATATTTGTTATCATTGTGTCATTTTTTTTTATGTAAATTGAGGGAACAAAAGCAGTATCGGCCCCAAATATCGGCTCAAGAAAATCGGCAGTCCATAATCGGTCATCGGCTAAGGGTGATGGAAAAAAATCAGTATCGGCATCGGCCCTAAAAAATCCATATCGGTCTATCCCTACTTAAATTTGTCGTCATATCAAACTACAAACATTATTTATCATAAATAAAGTTTGAACCATAAACTCTGATCAGGTTTTGTCTACTTCTGTTTCAGGATCAGCTGCAAACTGTCTTGGCAGAGATGGCAGCCATCTTGTTTTTACATGGAATAGTGTATTGTGGTCTCACTACCACTAGGTGGGACAGAGAGTGTCCACGAATGGAGGACAACAGGTCTGAGTGAAACAGGATGAAACCCAGAATGAGACGTCCTCATGTGAGGACGCAGGGTCTCAGGAGGTTGAAGCACATGACTGGAACACAGCTACTACAGGCACTGCAGTATTTTACTGTGTGTACTAAAGTGTGTATTTTACTGTGTGTATTTCACTGTGTGTATTTCACTGCAGTGAGATGTGTGAATACTTGACGACTGTAGACGTCTGAGTGTTTGTCTGTTTCTGCTCTGAATGTGGAAACTCTGCATATATTGTATAATAGGATATATAACTGCTGCCCACACACACACACACACACACACACACACACACACACACAAATCAAATCCCACTGCTGTACTGTGTAGGAGTGTTTCGAGAGAAAAACCTGATTATTTCTTTCTGAGTGCTTTCACACAGGTGTGTGTGTGTGCGCGCGCATGTGTGCGTTCATGCGCGCGTGCGTGTGTGTGTGTGTGTGTGTGTGTGTGTGTGTGTGTGTGTGTGTAGGAGGAGAGAGGGTTTTAATGCCTTCACCTAAGGACACTGTTGCCTAGCAACACACACACACACACACACACACACACACACAGTTACATAACAGCCCTCAGTATCTGTGGAGCATCACCTGCCCACACAGAGCTCTGATTGGATGCTGGGTTCAGCTGCTGCCTCCTGATTGGCTGGTTGGGTCCACGTGAGGTCGTATTTGAACATCTGACTGATTCATTTTAAGAAAGACTCAGTTTGTGTCTGTCTGAAGAACAAACTGTTTGATTTCACAGAAACAAAGTGTCAGACAGACACTGAGCAGCTCCGCATCACTTCCTCATCTGATCCCACGCTCTGACACCTGCCGGACAGGCTCCGCCTCCAATCAGTACGTTAATAAATAGAAACATTAAAACAAGTCTCCCCACTCAGCCCCAAACTACAGAACTGGAGCCAGAATATCCTGAATACAGCTGCTGCCGCCTTGTGCTGACGTCACTTGAAGCCAGAGTCTGTGCAGTACCAATCTCTGCCTGTATCGAGTCCCCGCACAAACACTCCTCCGACCAATCGCAAGCAGCACAGTTGTAGGCGAGCACAGTGATTGGCACACACAGCTGTCAATCATGACCTCAATCCCCTCGGCCCAAAATTGCACAGCTGATGGCCAACCATCATGTCCGTTCTGCTCCTGCTGACAGGAAATAACTCTCCACACCTACAGACAGCGGTCGTTTGTTGTCATTATTTAAAAAGGGAAACAGGAAGAGCAACAGGACAAAGCAGGAAGCTGCTGCAGCAGCTTGATTACAAGTAAGGGTGCAACGAAGAACCAAAATACCAGCAGACTCCACCGTCACCGACACTGATTCAACATGCTGAATCAGCCAAAACTGGGGCCAACGGCGTAGGACACACCACAAAAAATAGACACTGGCCCACTTATGCTAACAACTTTTACTTCAATTACATTAGCTCGTTGGCCCACTTATATTAGCTGCATTAGCCCGGTAACATGACAGTACAGTAACTATGTTAGTCCAATAACGTTAGCTAAGTTTGCTCACTTACATTAGCTACATTAGTCCCAGAGTGTGAGCTATGTTGGCCCACTATTATTTGCTATGTTAGCCCACTAATGTTAGCTATATTGGCCCAGTAAATATTAGCTACACTGGCCAGCTAATGTTAGCTACATTAGTCCAATGATGCTAGCTATGTCAGCCCACTGACATTAGCTACATTAGCTGATTTATGTTAGCTATGCCTGCCCTCTAACATTAGCTACATTTGCCCATCAAAGTTAGCTACATAAGTCCAATTACATTTGCTACATTAGCCCACTGACTTTGGCTACATTAGTCCAGTGAGTTAGATATTGAGATATATGATATATGAGATATTATTATTTCACCTCCATCACTTCAATTACCTAAGCTACCTAAGCTTCTTTGGCCCACTCATGTTATCTACGTTAGCTCAATAACATTAGCTATGTTAGTCTGATGACATAGGCTACTGTGGCCCACTTATGTTAGCTACATTAGCCCGATAACATTAGGTATGTTAGTCCGATGACGTAGGCTACTGTGGCCCACTTATGTTGGCCACATTAGTTCAACTATGTTAGCTACACTGGCCCACTAGTGTTGGCTATGTTAGTCCAATAACGTTAGCCATATTGGCTCACTAGCATTAGCTACATTAGTTTAATAATGTGAGCTACATTAGCCCACTGATGTTACCTACATTAGATCACTTACGTTAGCCAACTGACGTTAGCTCTGTAAGCAGAGCAGTGTTAACTTGACCTTAACTTGTTTCACAGTCGGTTAAAGTTTGTCTGAACAGTTCAGGTTCTGCTGATGCTGTCTGAGGTGACGTTACACGTTACACAGAAAGTGAAGGTAGAATATCGTACACTTCTCACGCAGCTGCCAAACAGATGTGCACGGACTGTTGGCAGACGCCACCACAGTGATGGTGACCAGTTAAATGTGACACGTCACTGTCCTGGTCCCTGGTCTGTAGTACTGTCTCACAGCTCTGAGCTGAGTGGGTCATGTGTTTATCATCGTGACTCCGGTTTACTGATTATGACTGCAGTTTTTAATGTTTCATCCAGACCACCATGATGATCATCGTCTACATCGACTGAACCCTGAACGTGTCTGATGTATTCATTAACTCATGTTTTACTGTTTTTAAAAATCTCTCTCCAAAGAATTACAGCTGAAAATAAACACAGACATATTCACAGTGATGTTAGTTAATGTGTGTTGTCTTTAAAAATCAGTCTAATGAAGGAAACAGAACTGTGTCAGGCTTTTACTGTGAAGGAAACACAGGAAGTGTGTCTCCTGGTTATTGTCAGCCTCTCAGCACTGATCAGTGTTAAAACAGATTCTGATCACAGATTCTGTGGCACAGCCAGCGGTGGATGTGTATTACTGAGTATCTTTACTGTGTGTTGTTTGTACGTGCACTGCAGTGAGCGCTGTGTTATAGCAGCTGATCAGAGATCAGTGAGGAGGAGGAGGAGGAGGAGGAGGAAGAACTCGTCTCCACGGTGATTACACCTCCTCATCAATTAGTAATTATACTCTGGTTGCCGTTAGTAACACCAACACTTCCATAATTTATCATCATCATCCTTATCCTCAGCCAAACAGCACAGAGTAGTACACACACAGTAACTGTACACACAGTAACAGCAGTAGTGGTACGAGGAGAGCTAGTTTTAATAAAAGTAGAAGAAACAGTAGATGTCTCTGCAGCAGCACTGACAGCAGTAACATGTAGTCAGACTCAGACTCAGACTCAGATTCAGATTCAGACTCAGACTCAGATTCAGATTCAGATTCAGACTCAGATTCAGATTCAGATTCAGACTCAGATTCAGACTCAGATTCAGACTCAGACTCAGACTCAGACTCAGACTAAGATTCTCAGTCACTATGAACACAGACTCAATAAACTGATTAAAGACAGTCTGTGCTGACAGCTCACACTTCAGTCTGTTCTCATGTCTATTTCCACAGTACACACACCTGTTGGTTTAGTGTCATGTGACTGTTACTGGGAGGCCCCCAGATGTCTGGGGCCGGCCCTGACCTGTAGGAAGTACTCACCAATGTTGGGGTGCTTCAGTAAACGACAGATTCGAGCTTCACGGTCCAACTTCTGATGATCTGAAAACACAAACACATTGATCACACATTGATCACACAGGTATTGATCACTGATCACAGGTACTGATGCTAACATTAGCAGATATACTAATGTGCCTGTGTGTATGTCAGGAGAATTAATACATCAGCACCATGTCAGTGCCAAAAAACCGAAAACGTGCTGTTACTGGCTGTTGTCCAGTACTGTAGGTACCCATGATGCACTTCTTCTGGACCTGTTGGGACAGTGTGTATGCCTACAGGTGTTCCAGCCTGCTGTTAAATGTCAAAGGAAGAACAACACGTTGAAGATGGCGCAGAGTGCAGATGCAGCGACAGCTCCGCCTCCAGTGTTCTTTCTGAGGTCGGCGTGTTGAGTAACTCTTTGTGTATTTATATTCTGACACAGACGGCCACAGCGTGACGAGCCGCTGAGCGTCTGTTCACAGTCACCTTTTACCCAGATGTCCAATCACAGTGGAGGAGGGGCGGGACATACCAGAGAGATACAACTGTCATGTCTGAAATGTACATGTTTCTGTACTGTATGTTAATCAATCAGTAGTCCTCTGTGATGGTGATGATCATCTTCATTTTCATCATCATCATCAGGGATCAATACAAAAACTTCACTGAAAATGTTTTAATAAAGGGGTGTGTGTTCACGTACGGGCGTATGTGTGTTCACGTACGGTCGTATGTGTGTTCACGTACGGGCGTATGTGTGTTCACGTACGGTCGTATGTGTGTTCACGTACGGGCGTATGTGTGTTCACGTACGGTCGTATGTGTGTTCACTTACGGTCGTATGTGTGTTCA